TGTTTCATATTCCTGAAGTTTGCCGAACAGAGTGGCGGATGTCATCGTGGCTAGGCTCTTCTTTTCAGAAATTGCTGTCACCTTGGGCTGCCATTCTCTGGACAAGGATCTAAGCACTTTAAGATTTAATTCATCGTTAGTTAGTGTCTTGCCGAGTGCTATAAGATGATTTGTCAAGTGCACGAATCTCTTCTGCAAGTCTAAAATTGATTCTCCTGGCTGCATTCCGAGCATCTCGTATTCCTGACTCAACGTGTTCAACCTTGATCTTTTAACTTCGATGGTTCCTTTATGTGTTTCTACTAAAGTATCCCAGATTTCTTTTGCTGTTGTACATGTTGAGATGCGAAAGAATTCGTCCGTACTCAATGCACTTTGTAGAAGATTGATTGCCTTTTTGTCATAGAGAACCTTTTTCTTATCATCGTCATCCCATGAGGCTTTGGGTTTTGCTGATCCTACACCGTTAACGAACGTTGTAGGAGTGAAAGGACCATTTTAAACAGCATTCCAGATTTCTTCTCCTTGTGCTTCTAAGTGAGCCTTCTTACGGATTTTCCAGAAATCAAAGTATTCACCACAGAACAATTGAGGCTTGTTACTGCTACCACCGTCTTTGAATACACCTTTATTATTTGCGGAAGTCATACTGGATCAAATAGGAACGGGTTACCCAAACCTGCTCTGATATCAATTGTGAGTAGTAATGCGCCTAAGAGGGGGGGGGGGGGTTGAATTAGGTTCTTTGAAATTTTCTGGTTTTAAGAGGACTGTGTTACTTTCTTTTTAATGAAGTGAAGATATGAACGCTTGTAAAGGTAGAAAGTAAAAGAGACACAGAGAGTTATAGTGGTTCCCCTCACACCTCGAGGGTAGTTCACTCCCCTTTCAACACGAAAGAGATTTCACTATAGTTAGGATCAATTGTACAATTTGCTCTAATCTATAGGAGATCAAAGGTTCGTAAAACACCTTTAAGATCTAAACACTAAGTGCAATGAGAACAATCCTGTCTAATGCACACACTTGCTTTCAACAATCCTGAACAGCAAGGGGAAAATAGAATACAATTCTGAGTTGGTAAGATTTGTAACAATGTATAATTGGTAATCAATGCTGAGATTGAATCTTCTCTTTCAATAGAATTTCCACAAGTATCTAAGACTTATTGCTCAAGAATTTTCTTTTCAAAAGATATGAAATTTGATGCAGAAAATTCTTTGTGAAAATTGTTTTAAAGAAAAAGTTCAAGAATCTTGATTGAAAGAGATTGTAAATAATTGATGTAAAAGTTTGTTATTTGAATTTTGAAAAGCTAGGTATTTATATCACATAAAAATCACTTGATGAAATCATGCAAATCTTCAGAAAAAATTGATGAACAGTTGTTATGTTTCAAAGGAAACATTTAACAGACTTTTGAATGAAGAGATGCAATTTTTCAGAATGAATTTTCAAAAATGTTCAGTGAGCAATTGATTGCACTTCAAAACAGAATTGAAAACTGAGAGTTTTTTAAGCATGCAATCGATTGCACTACAGGCAGCAATCGATTGCTCTTCAAAACAGAATAAAAAAATTGTTAAAAATTTTGACCATGCAATCGATTGCTCCAAGAGTGCAATCAATTGCACTTTGAAAAACTTAGAAAAATTCTGTTTTCAAAAGCTTGTGAGAGTGCAACAAGTCATGAAAATTGTTTTTAAAGCTTTAAGCAATTAGGACTTAAATGCTTAATGAATATTCTCATTGTACCTTCAGATGTGAACATCTTCAAAGTTGTATCTTTGTCCTGATGCTTGATGGTTGATCATCTTTGCCTTCTTGAGTGATTTGTCTTCATCAAAACAAAAGTTGATCTTTGAGGATCTTGATTTCACATTTTATTTGTTGGATTAATGATGTATAACCATCGATTGTGGGGATTATGTTTAAACATTAATTTTATTCCGTTGTTGTATTGAATGACCTTGTTGAAATATTGTGGAAGGCATGAAGTGACTTGATACTTCATTGAATGAGAAAAATGTCTATGTGACATCCTACATGTTTTGAAAACTCTGATGTATTTTCTTTAATATTTCTATAATACGCGTACGAGGTAGAGTGGGGTGTTACAAAATGCCAATCCACCAATGATCATAAACCATAAATCTTCATTTGAAAATCGTTAGATTACATTGTCGACTTTAAATAGATTTATTTTGGGTCGACCATAGAGACCCTGACCGACCACCATGAAAATTACGAGTTTGTTATTCCCTCTCTACTATATATAGAGAAAGTGACAAATTCATGTAATAAGTTTCAAATTCAATTTCAATCCATTCTTCTCCATCACATACTGACTTGAGCGTTGGAGTGCTAACCTTGTAAGTCAGCCCCCTTTCCATCCCGCTGGAAGCTCAGAACCACCATCAATTCCAATTTTCACTCCATTTTTGGTTCTAGAACATAATAGTGGTATCATCTGTGCGTATTGACTTTTGATTCCCGTGTTCTGCATAATTCCATGTTTGATCTTCAATTCACTAGTCTGTAACCTCTTAGGTCACCGAATCAAGAGCCTCTGAAATAAGGTTCATCATCACACAACCGAACCTAAGAGAACTTAGCTATATATTATTCAGAAAATAATACCATAATTGATAGATAGAAATAACATGAAAAGTCCTTTGAAAAATGACCTCCAATGGTTTCAAATGCTCTAAAATTCTCTTTTTATGATCCTAAACTCGTGCTCTCTTCTCCAATTTTTGTAACCCTTATTAAACAACAGAAAATTCCCTTTTAAAGCAGTCAGAACAGGTCACAACGCGTCAAAAAAAACCCAGAAAAAACACCCATCACACGCATGATATAAGTATCACGCGCGCAATGCATTTTGTTCGCCTCTATCACACACACAGTGGCGTGCGATGGTGCATATGATTATTCCAGTATTTGTGTGAAAACACTCATTTTGCACCAGAATTTTCACCAAGTCTCATTTTTTCATATTTGGCTATTTTTCACTCATTCTTGAGTCTTTCTTCATCATTTTCACTCATCTTCTGCTTATTTTCCCCGATTCTTCGACTAATTAGATGCGATGACAGACTGCCATCATGTCCCACACTTGAAATACTCCCTCTCAGTGTAACGATATTTTGGGGGATCCACTGTTTTCCTCCATCTTATTCTCAACAACAAATCCACTTTAAAAACCATACTTCTTTTTTCCATTTTTTGGCAGTAAACTATAATCCTCCTTCACAAAAACCATTACTCATCTATATCACAGGCCTCATATACATCAACCTTTCCATCACTTCTTCCTCTCCATATTTTAACAAAACCACACCTTCCACTTCAACCTCTTTCATCATGTGAAGCTTGAATCATTAATCCCCCACTCACTTTCAAAACCTCCATGAACTTATTGTTCATTGGCTTTAAAAAAAACACAATCGCTAAAAACCAATCGCATAATATCTTCCCAAATTGTGTCCTCATCCTCTCCTCAAAAACCACTATCTTGCTACCTACAACTCATCTTACTTCCTCATTTTCCTTTAACCTCACATAGACACATAACATAAAGCTCTTCACTCTTTATCACTACCACATAACTCTTTCATCCATTCACATGGTAAGAATATAAGAGATCACCATGTAGAACCACAACATAAACTCCATTTCAACAAACCAACTTCTTCAACCTCAAACTACTTCATGCTCCTCTCATAATCATTAACCACCATTCACAACCTTAAACTACACCACATAGTGAATCCATCCATCCATGATACTACAACAACACTAAAAAAAACACAATAACGAATCGAGCATGAAATTAGTTATCGGAAGAATCGTTCAAAACACCTCCGCCACAACCGGATCTTCTTCAAGCATGTGGTTTCAATGAGTTCCGCGGACACAACAACATAGAAGCACTCGTGAGAAAGAGAGATTCGCAATAAAGTTATGTGATTTGTGAAAGTTAGCGAGTGGCGAATGAGAAGGAAGTGGGGGCGTTGCCGCCGTTGCTTATCAGTCAATCGCCCCCTGGTATGCGTCGATGAACTGAATAGAGAAAGGTAGAGGTTTTACATTTTTTTTCTTTTTGTACAGTCTGTTATGTTTGGTTTCTTTAGTTGCTTTTTGATGTTTCTATCTTTTAAGCATTGTCACGCGTCGACATTGTATTAGGGACTATCATACCCTAAATTTTGCTCTCCCGATAATATTTTCATCTGCATTAATTCATTTTATTTATTCATCTATGCTGATTCATTTATATTTTTCATCTCATTTGCATCATCCTCTTATGACCATTGTATTTGGTCATAAGATCCCATTAGTCTGTAATAATCAATAACATAGAAAAGTCAGCAATTTGATGTTTTTTCGTCTGAACATTTGCATAATTAGATAATACATCCATATATAGTATCATTCGAATCTCGTTTGGTGTTCATGTGAGTTTTGACTTATAGGCTTTCTCTTAAGGTTTGTTCACATTTTTTGATAGTTTGGAATCCTAGATAACCTTGTTTTTTTTTTTAATTCATGTGTCCAAGCAAAGGCATGCTAAGTCTCGAGTTTAGGGTTTGAATTTAAATTGAGATTAAAACTTTTTACTAGGTAGCATGAAATTAAAGAGAATCACAAGATAGAATTTTAGGATAGTTTTGGATAATTCTCTCTTTCTTACTAATTAAAAAATCAACTCAATTGATATGTGTGAAATTGTAACATCTCATTTATTCACTATTAAAAAATAAAATTTTGGCCATTAATCTACTTAATCAAATTATAAAAAAAAAGTTTGATCTAGAATGATAGGGATTACATTTAAAAAAATACATTTTAAGACATTTTCTAAATAAATAAAAATAAGTTTATCTTTACAAAGTAAGGGCAACGACTTGTCGTTTTAAGTGACGAATTTGGTTAAACCCCGTGTTGTCTTGTTGTAGAGTCTGCTGCTTATTTCATTCACCATTTTCTGATTCAACATGGCGGCTTTCTTAAGGAAGGTAGCAAGGGCCACTCCGATCTCATTCGGCGCCCATTCCAAATCCTCCCGTACTAATTTCCACTTACCCTTCACCGCTATCGCCGCCATTTCCGGTGGTTTCTCCTACCTTTACTACTCTTCCTCTCCCAATCTGGTAGCTGCTAAATTTACTTTTCGTCCTTGTGTTCTCTTTTAAATTTTAATCGATTCTTTTTCTTCATTTTCATGAATATAAGGAACTCGGTAATCAAATTTGTTCTGACTTTTTGCAGGTTCACTCGGATCAAATTGGAGATGAGGAAATTAAGACTAAAAATATTGGTGAGTTTCCTCTTAGTTGGAATTGGAATCGAGTCAATCGACAATATCTATTGTGACTGTTTTTTGTGGATATAGTGTAATATAATGTGTGGTAGATTTATCTATAAAAAATCAGCGTAGGTTTTGGATTGATTTGTACAGATGAGTTACTGGGGCAAATAGATTTATGTGCCTATAAATATAGATTATTGCTTTGTAGCTTGCATTATGATTTGTGATTACCTTCTGATTCCAGTGTTGACAAAGAATATTTTTCGTTTTTTTGTTTTTGTTATCAGCACTGATTCCTGATAAATGGGTTGAATTTAAGCTGCAAGACACTGCCAGGGTCAGTCAAAATACTCACTTATACAGGTATTATATCCTATAGGACAAATCATGAATGTGGACGCATCTGTAATATCTCACTATAGTTTGTGACTCTATTTATCTGATGGTGTTTCTCTTCCTTAATTTTGTTAGCTCGTCTTTCAACAAGTTTTTGATATGATATTAGTATTACTCAAATGGAATGAATTGTGGATTTGTATTTCTCTAGAGAAACAATTAATTCCAACTCTGTTTAAAATCAAAGCTACAAGTTGTGGAGGATTCTTAACAATGACGATAATAATTAAAAAGGGAAACTTGGAGAATGCCATTACTAGTCCCCTGTTATGGCAGAGTGTAGAGAAGGATCAGCCTCATCATGAGTTTATTATACTCAATCTTACCTTACCTTTGTAAGAAGTCGATTCCACAACTCAAAGTGTGACAGCCTAGTCATATGGAAATAGCTCCAACCGTTGCACTAAGAGTCCCTCTCAATAATCAACACTCAGTTCTTAAATAAATAATATTGTTTGGTTCCTTTTGGAGCAATAGTGATGCTTGAATAAGCATAATATTGGTCAAGCTATGTTTTAGTGCATATTCAATATTCCTCCTCATCAGCCAAATAATACTCTACATAGGAATTATAGTCATCACGTAGGATGTTACATATGCACTCCATCGTCATATAAATGGAGAAAAACAAATGTTCCTTTTGGAAAACTTTCATTTATTTAATACATGTATTTAAAGTTTAGGAATGATAAGATTTCTATATTTTGAGAGACCAAAAATATATTTAGTCCCCCAAAATCGTCGGTTCCTAATTTTCCATGGTTTATCATTAAACCAATTGTCGGCATGAGCTTCCATGAGAGAAGCAGATAAGCTAAACATTCAGTTTTAATATTGTGAAGACTCCTTTATTTACATATAAATATATTTTTTGTATTAATTAATCCTTAATAATAATAGGGAGATAAAGTGAGATGTAAATCGCATGATCCAAGTAGAGTGGATAAATGGAAAAAAGTTTTAAGATGTGATTTGTGATAAAATGTACCACTCAAGCCTAAAAGGAAATTTTACCAAATAGCTATAACTATAAGATTTCCAATATTGCATGGGACTGAATGTTAGGTGGTGAAGTACTAAAGAGAGAGTAAGCTCTCAATATGGCAAAAAACGTTAGGCAGTGAAGTACTAAAGAGAGAGTAAGCTCAATTTAGCAAAAAAGTTAGGCGGTGAAGTATTAAAGAGAGAGTAAGCTGAATGTTGGAGAAACGTTAAGGTAGCTCCTACCGCAGCAAAAATTAGAGTTGTCTTAAGTGTTTTGGGCATATGTGGAGTACCCCCTCAGACACATTGATAAGATTAGAGACAAGATGGAGGATAGTCTAACAATTAGAGGTAGAGGGAGATCAAAATGGATATGCTGCAGCAGTTTTATGGTGCATCCTGGTGCTAAGTGGTTAGATTAAGAGGGAAAATTTATCTCTCAGACCGATGCAGCGGCTTTTGTAAAAATTGCTTGTTGGGAGAACTGAAATGCTTATCATAGTATGTACTGCAACTGTAGCATAAGCTGATAGCTTAGGGATAAAATCATACTAGTCGTGGATTCATGGATGTTGCATGCATTAATTATGTTATAGGTACACAATATTTTAAATTTCATGTGAGAAAATACTTTTAACAGATTTCATTTTGTATTTATATCACTGTATCTCTGACTCTGTAATTGTACCTTTGTACCCCAGGTTTTCGTTTGATCCCACTAAGAAGTTGGGTTTGGATGTTGCTTCTTGCATTCTTACAAGGTGTGATAGATTGTTGATAGTTCATATTGTTTCTCTGTTGGCTGTGTGTTGGTGTATTTCTCCACAACAAAGACTTAAATTTTATATACAATGGCAGGGCTCCACTGGGACAAGATGCTGAAGAAAAACCAAAATATGTCATTCGTCCGTAAGTTTCTCGTTGAGACAATGAGTGTACTTTATATTCAGATATTTCTTTATTCTGGCACCTGATACCATTACCTTCAGGCTTTATTCTGTCTAAAATCTTCATGACTGTTTTAATATTCTTAAATTGTTGATTTGATTTGCTTTTTCACTGTACTTATTTTTCTGCCACCGATGGCCTTAGTAGATTAATTTGTAAATCTTTTCAAATTGCCCGTTAACATCCCTCTTAACCTTGCTGTTGTGGTGCTGAATGTTAGAAACCAAGGAAAAATCAAATGAATAAAGTGAGAGAGAATAAAAAAATAAATATGTACTATTGAAAAGCAGTGAATAAAATTCTCTCCATCCATCCATCCCTTATTTATTTGGTTAATTTCCTCTTACTAAATGTCTCTAAGATATGTCTATGAAAATCATTCAGTCCGGGTGCATTTTTTTTACTAATGCTGTCTTCAGAATTTTGTTTGCTGTAAATTAAATAAACAGAGATCGGGAAGCATTATGTACTTCATTTTCTACCTAAAAATAGTTTTGCATTCGTTGTTTTATTTGTGCATTTTACTTTGCTTTATTTCTTTGCCATGTTCCTGACTCCTTCATTTCTGATTTTTTTTTCTGGTTCCCTTTGAAATAAGTGCATTTCTGACCTCAGAGGAACTCCGTAGTGGAACTTTCAGCTTTGATAATGATGTTGTGTTCTTCATGTGAAACTTTTGTCATATTTGTATCTTTCCACTAATCTATAGGAAGCACGATAACCATTTTTCTTCTTACTGGCTTGTAAGATGTAGACAATTGAACAGTAACATATATATTATGCTTTTATCTATACTTATTTCACTTATTAAGAATGGAATAATCAAAATTTCATCTCAATGTCAAGACCACACTTTAAAATGGAATAATCAAAATTTTATCTATACTTATTTCACTTATTAAGAATGGAATAATCAAATTTTCATCTCAATGTCAAGACCACACTTTAGATTGTTGTAATTTCTTATTTATTATTGATGTTTTGTGGAGATTGACTCATGTGAGAGTGTTTGTGTCTGAATCTTCAGGTATACTCCTATATCAGATCCAGAATCTACCGGATATTTTGATTTGTTAATCAAGGTATGTCACTATTTGTAGGGCATTACTTTTCTTATCTCATTGATCATCTAGCAGGCACTTTTAAAGAGGCACTTTGTTGACATACTTTTCAAATTGTTGCAGGTGTATCCTGAAGGAAAAATGAGCCAGCATTTTGCAAGCTTAAAACCTGGTGACGTCGTTGAAGTGAAAGGGTATGTCATCTGCAATAACAACTCAATATCAGAACAATGCTTTTCACGCTTACAGTTTCTATAATAAAGGCATTGTTTCTTTCAGGCCCATTGAAAAGTTTAAATATACCCCTAATATGAAGAAGAATATTGGCATGGTAAGCATATTAGCATCGGTTGTTGTTCCCAACCATCAATTCAATATCCATTAACAAGTAAATCAAGCTTGTTTGGTAGCCTTTAGAGAGTTACAAGCATGCCTTTAAATTTGTAAAGGAAAATGAAGAATTTGTTACTTCCCTAAAAGTATGTTTGAATTGCCTACGCCGAACTATCTCTCAAACATGCACTTTATGCCTTTCACTCTGTTGTTCTTTATGTATTCCATTAGGTTCATAGACATGAATGCATTAACTTCACATTTATCTTTCTTCAAGGCTTAGGATTTATAATATAATGATATGAATACATTAACTTCATTATGCAGATTGCCGGCGGCTCAGGAATTACTCCCATGCTTCAAGTAATTGAGGCTATATTGAAGAATTCTGATGACAAAACTCAGGTAGGTTGCAAATTTCTACATATTATCCCACCAATATGTACATTATATACAGCTTGTAGCTTGTTTTATATATATGGAAGAGATTAATTTCTATGCACTGACAGTGCAAAACTTTTTTATGTGTGCATATAATCAAATCGCATTGCGGTGCCACTTGCTTAATTTAGTTCTAAAATATCTCAACAAATATCTATAGTGTGCAATTTGATTGGAATGTGTAAAAAGTTTTCCACTATCAATGTATACAAATTAAATTCTTTTGGAAAAGCACTAGCTCATTTTATTTATGCATATGAAGTATGATTATTTGTTTTGTGGTATACGTGAGAGTATCACAATTGATGGCAGCCTTGTACATATACAGATATCATTGCTTTATGCTAATGTCTCCCCAGATGACATACTGCTTAAACAGAAGCTTGACATTCTAGCAGCAACCCACCCAAATCTAAAGGTAAAAAAATATTGTTTAGAGAAGTTATTTTGGTTAGTCAATCTTTTGTTATTTTGGACAAATTAGTTATTTGTTAAAACAAACTTTGCAGATATTCTACACAGTAGACAATCCAACAAAAAATTGGAAAGGAGGTGCAGGTTACATATCGAAGGATATGGCTGTAAAAGGCTTACCTAGTCCTAGCGACGATACTCTTATACTTGTGAGTTTTGCTTTTCATGTAAAAGCTATATAGCATTTACAGAACTCTTAGATTCAAACAATTTGAACCTCCATGGAACTTATTGTTAAATATTTATATTTGTCTAATGGTTAAAATCACTCATATATGATTAATATAGCACTTCCACAACCTGTTGTTGTTACTCCTATAGATTGCTAAGCTGGATAGCAACATTTAGGGCCCGTTTGTTCAATATTTTTTAAAATTCATTTTTGATGCATTAGTTATGTTTGTGTGTAAGCTTTTCTAAGAAATCATTTTGTTAAAAATTAATTTCTGTGCTGAAAATGAAATAGCTTTTTTCAGTAGCTTTTGAAGAAAATCACTTTTATAGAAGAGAGAAAAAAAAGATAGTTTATGGTGTTTGTTTTTTAATGAAAAATTATTTTAACATGCATAGTTTTCAACTTGAATGCTTTTTCAACCATGATTTATGTTTTTATTAAAAGTCTCTGAAGAATAATTTCCAAATTATTTATATATCAAAATCACTTTTATTTTAGTCTATAACAAACAACTCTTAATAAGATGCAATACATTTGAATTAAATTTATCTGTTTTGCATAGAGAAAATAACGTGTTGCATTGAGATACTATTCTATGTCAATGTTTTCCATCTTTTGATGAAAAGGTTTATAAGGAAATGGGTTGTGGTGGTTGCAAGATTTCATAATTATGTTAAATTTCTGTTGCATAAGCTGAACCCTAGTGTCACCTGCATTTCAGGTGTGTGGTCCTCCTGGAATGATGAAACATATATCTGGTGAAAAGGCAAAGGACTGGACCCAAGGAGAGGTATGAATTTAATTGTATGTTGTTGTGTTTGATTTTGTTTCTTGGATTTTTGTAATCATACACTTCCTGGTTTGATTTCCTGCAGCTATCTGGCATACTCAAAGAGGCTGGGTACACCGAACAAATGGTGTACAAATTTTGAGAAATTTTGGTTCCATGCTTGCATCTAATTGATTGCTACAGAATTCGTGTTTTACAAATTTTGAAAGATTTTGTTTCTAGCATGTTAAGCGTGCACATACGCCGCATAATTTGCCTCCTAATGTTATTTCTGAAAGATGCAGATGAAAATTCTAACATGAAATAAGTGGATAGAGAATCCTAATGTTATTCCTGAAAGATGCAGATGAAAATTCTAACTTGAAACATGAAATAAATCTAGAATTTGCAGTGGATAGAGAATTTATTGATTGTGTAAATGCCTAGTTTGTTAGATTATGTGGGGGTGAATCAAGCAACAGGAATTGAGAATTACATGTTTGTCCTTGTGTCTTCAATCCACGTTATATGGGTTTATCATAGTAATTGGTTGCATTTGTGCTCATCAACTTCAGGATCGTATTCACACACATTTCTCATAATTGATTTGTTCCTGTGCAAGACAACTTACGTCAGAACAATGTGCAACAATGCTATCTGATGGACTGATGGAGGATTATCTCTTTTGCATCACGTCATTAATTTAGGGGATTTCTTATTACACCCTATATTTTACCGCACCACATGAAAATACATGAAAAATACTAGAATGTCCCTCAAAATTAGAAGATACATTTCTGAATGCATCATGCACCAACTCTATAGTGCATTAAATAAGTTTTATCTTAGATGAATACTACACAAAATTTTGGAGATGCATCTCTGGGTATTTTCGACAAATATAATGAAATTATATAAGTTCAGTGGTTATTCTTTAGATGCATCTTTGAAAATTTGAGGTAAAATTTTAAAATTTGTCGTTATCTTTGCATGTCAGATATTTTTGAAGATGCATCTCTAGAATAATTTGATAAAGAGAACCGCATGATCACACCACCGTACTTGTTTTCCATTCAACTCTTACCAAAAACCTTTCCATTTTCAATCCACATTTTCACTACAAATCTTCAATCTTGTGTTTTATTACATCAAAAGGAGAAAAAAGAAGTTGAAATTCTAGATAAAGATAATTTATTTCAAGCCTCATTGCACATATTGTTTTAGTTCTGAAAAATGAGTGTTTATTCTTGAGATACATTCTTGAAACAAGTATGAACTCTTTAGAAAATGTATTTTTGGTATTTGTCCGTGTTCATTTTTTCAACTCTGTTTATAGCATTAGCGTTTATTTACTGTTATGTGGTAATTGTTTTATTAGATACTGTGTAGTCAGATGTTTCCCCAAACAAGTTGTGTCTTCCACCATTAAAAGTGTTGTGAAGGTGGTAGATGTTGGCAAGCAATTTAAAAATGAGTAAGAGTTTGAATCTCGTGATCATATGCTTTAATAGATTCGTACGAAGACTTTCAAACTAGAATTTAGTGTTGTTATCGGAAGGTCCGATAATGGTTTGGATAAAAGATGTGCTTTTGTGACAATGACATGCGAAAGAAGCGGAAAATATTTAACTCCTCTCCAAAATTTTAAACGAGACGACATTGATTCAAGAAAATGTGAGTGTTCCTTTAAGGTACATGGTTATATGTTGGCAAACAAAAATTGAAGATTTAATGTCATATGTGGTTTTCATAACCATGATTTGTGTGAAAAGTTAGCCGACCATCCAATTGTGTGTCGCCTCATGCCGGAAGAGAAAGAATGCGTTGCTGACATGACATTGAATTTGCTTCAACCAAAAAATATATTTGTAACTTTGAAACGTAAAAGATAGGAAAATATCTCAAATATCAAATATCTCAAACATCAATATCATATGCTTTAATGGGTTTGTACAGAGGCCTCCAAACTATAATTTGGTATGGTTATCGGAAGATCCGATAATGGTTCAAATAGAAGATGTGTTTTTGTGACAATGACATGCGAAAGAAGTGGGAAATATATAACTTCTCTTCGGAATTTTAAATGAGACGACACTGATTCAAGAAAATGTGAGTGTCCCTTTAAGGTGCATGGTTATATGTTGGCAAACAAAAATTGAAAATTTAATGTCATAAGTGGTTTTCATAACCATGATTTATGTGAAAAGTTATTCGGCTATTCAATTGTGTGTCGGCTCATGCCGAAAGAGAAGGAATGTGTTGTTGACATGATATTGAATTTGGTTCAACCAAAAAATATACTTGCAATTTTGAAACGTAAAAGAACGGAAAATATCGCAAATACCAAGCAAGTGTACAATATTCGGTACCAAACTAACAAGACGCTTAGGACGGATAGAACTGAAATGCAACTACTCTTAAAACTGTTGGATGATAACAATTTTGTGTCTAAGTATCGAACGTGCGAGGATGGCGCATTCCATCTAGTTTTTCAATATGTTTCCTAGTGTGCTCATACTTGACCGAAACGGAAGTGATAGAAGAGAGGTTTTTGAAAGCCGATGACATGAAGCTCCACATCAAAGAACAATTGAGGAAGATTGCTTATCCGAAAACCACCGACATGAAACTACCCTTTCAACAGGTGAAAATAAAATGTGCTCCGAAGAAGCTCAAGTCTACACCGAATGAAAATTCGACGACACAGACTCCTTCATATTTTGAACATGTTGACAATTTTTTTCCCGACTCACTAACTCCAAAATATCAAAAAAAAGTGTTGTTAAAGGAGCTCGCATTAACAAACCACCTCCTTCGTCTCCTTCGTCAAAGATTCCATTCATTGACGAGATGTTGTTTTTATGCACAAATACATCGAGCAGATCGTCAATGTTAAGGGGGACGATAATTACGATCATCGAGGTGATTCGACTATACTCGGTTGATCGCGACTTTCTATGTCTAATTGAACTAACTGCAAGTGCACAATCGGGTAGTAATAAAAGATATCGATCCCACAGGGACTCGTAATCAAGCTAGTATTTTCGGGTGTTACTGTGTGTAGCTAGATTGGTAATGTTTTAGGGAAATAAAAGCAAAATAAGTGCGTAAACTATAGGGGAACTAAAGCGTTACTTAAGGTATAAATGCTTGAATCGGTATGCAATATGTTGGTTCTTCAAGGATTCGACAAGTCACCGGTGTTTTGGGTGTTTTCAAAAATAGTTTAAGAAGAAAATGACGGTTTAAAGACCTTTGTCTCACTATGGTTGTTGACGCTAGTCGCAACTTTAAGGCGAGACGTATGCTGTCGCTATCCCGTTCGCGGTTAAAATTACTTTTTGAAAATCATTAAGCTCTAATCCTTTTTAAAGTGTTGTCGCTGTTTTTAAAATGAATGCTTAGTTTTTACTATCTGGACTTAACCTCAGCTGTCGCTTGTTGGTTCGTACCTTTATGAATTTTCCACTGTCGTGGAAAAACTGCTTTTAAATAAGTTCTCGCTGTCGCGACGAACATTTATTTTAGAAAAATCGATTTAAAAACTAAAGCCATAAATAAGTTTTTGAAAAGGAAAGTATACACCGGTTAATTATCGAATCTCATCTGACTACTTATTACATACCGATTACTTAAATTTAGCCAGACATGGAATATAAATTAAGAACACGTAAACAATGGCAGAAAATATAAATATGCATTATAATGGGGAATAGAAATCAATTAACGATTAAAATAAGAACCTGTAAATAATTCGATTGGCTTTTGGGAAATCCTCCAAAATGGCGGCAGGATTTAGTCTTTGTGCCAATCACTCGTACAGAATAGAATTTGGAAAGTAAAACAACAATTGTAAGGAAAGAAAGAAAAAGGAAACAATAAACGATAAGAAATTGGGAAACTAAAAATTGCTCTGAAAGTAAATTGGCAGCACTTCGTGTCTTCAATGCGACTCCCCTTTTCTGGTATCAACTCCCTCCTTTTATAGATGGAATTTCCAACGGTTAATTGCCTTAGGAAGTGGGATTGATCTCAGAAAATATAGGAGTTAGTGGTCCACTCCTTTTTGGAATTTGAAATCACTTCACAGCACGTGCAACATTTCTGCATTTTTTATTGCATGACGATCGTCATGGATGTGTGACGGTCGTAACACGCATGAAGGTCGTCACGGACCTGTGACGGTCGTCACATCAGCAGAATTCGTATTTGCTGTTTTTGGCTTGTTTTCATCTGTAATTGCTTGTTTTCTTCATCTTGCTCCATTTGAGCATGAACGTTGAATACCTGCAAAATACTGGACAAATAATGCGAAAATATCCGAAATCGGAGTAAAACCGGTCACTGATTAGTAAAAATGTACGTCATTATATATATATATATATATAAATATATATATATATATATATATATATATATATATATATATATATATATATATATATATATATATATATATATATATATATATATATATATATATATATATATATATATATATATATATATATATATATATATATATATATATATATATATATATATATATATATATATATATATATATATATATATATATATATATATATATATATATATATATATATATATATATACGATTTCGCGTTATCAAACTCCCCTAAACTTGAATCTTTGCTTGTCCTCAAGTAAAGGTAGGAAAAATTTAAAATTCGGCAAGCACGCGACACGGTCTTCCTTCGATGAGATTTCTCAGACGTCAAGTTAGGAAAAACCGGGGGTCCAATAGAAACAAAACATATACGGCAATGACACTGGATTGTAAATCTTCGAAGGCCTCTCTTTTATGCAAGCCAGTCCTAATCATGTTACTGCAGCTCGACTTCAAGCTTCTCGCAACAAATTTTACCCGGTTTCGTTCTGGCGCAATCACATTAAGCCCGTTGTCCATACATGTTCATGGCAAGCAAACCTGTTGGTGACTATGATCTCTTTGCTAGTTTGATTTATTCTTCGCACATATGCTCATTATGCTATAAATCTGCAAGAGTTTCATACCGTTGGGCTAAATGCTCAGGCGAGGAGCACCTAACTTAGAAGGAACATGTCTCTATATTCAGGCTATATGGCTTTTCTTTTCTTTCAAGATTATTCATTTCATACTAGAGATCACGCACTTATTTG